AAACTAGTCATACGTTTCCGCGTGTGCGTGGAGTGATTGTGGTTGGGTTTAAGAATCTGACAGCCCAAGGATAGAAACTATTTTTAAACCTATTTGTTCGGCTGGCTATACTTTGATGTCTTCTGCCTGATGGTAGAAGTGAGAAGAGACACTGACCAGAGTGTGAATCATCTCTGAGTATCTTCTTACTCTGCTAGAGCAGCAAGATCTGGTGATGTCATCCAGTGGTGTTAGAGGGCAACCAATGGTTTCTTGTGCTGAATTGATCACGCTCTGTAGTGCCTTCCTGTCTGCAGCAGTTAAACCAGCGTACCATACTATAATGCAATATTTAAGGACACATTTTATTCAAGACATTCCAGTTCCTCAGTTAAAACATCCCAAAACCTGTCACAAAGGGGCTTTTTCAGGATCATCTGGACTTTCTGGTCCAGAAAGTCCAGTTGCCTTTAAAAAAAAACTCCTTTGGGACAACCACGACCTGGGTGACTGAGAATCTCCATAGACATTTATCCCAAAACGTATTTCAACTTTTTTCTGTTTCTAGTTCTGCTTAGGGATCATTGATTGGGAGGGAGGGAGGGAGAGAGAGACTGCCACTGATATAGGATGTCATGAAAAGATAGTAGTAGGCATTCAGAGGAATGACTGTTACTTTCAGTACTGGTAGTTGTCAATTATAACCACAGTTGGACCAAAAGTTTCTAGTGCTAAGGAAGGCAATTAAGTGAGTTGTGCCTGATTTTATGACCATTTTGGTTGTTGAGTGAATCACTGTGGTTGTTAAGTAATCAAATAGTTGTTAAACAAATCTGGCTTCCCCCACTGACTTTGTGGGAACCGGGCTGGGAAGGCTGTGAATGGCAATCACATGACCTGCGGATAGGATAGAATAGAACAGAACAGAACAGAATTCTTTATTGGCCAAGTGCGATTGGACACACAAGGAATTTGTCTTCTGTGCATATGCTCTCAGTGTACATAAAAAGACAAGATACATTTGTCAAGAGTCATGGTACAACACTTAATGACAGTCATAAGGTACAAACAAGCAATCAAATCATACTAGGAAATAATCAATATAAATTGTAAGGATATAAGCAACAAAGTTACAGTCATACAGTCATAAGTGGGAGGAGATGGGTGATAGGAACGATGAGAAAATTAATAGTAATGCAGATTTAGTAAATAGTTTGACAGCATTGAGGGAAGTATTTGTTTGCTGCAACCATTGTAAATACATGCTGATTGCCAAGCACTCAATTTTTTATCCTGTGATAGCACAATGGTTGTAAGTGCAAAGACCAGTTGTCATTTTTTGTTGTTAATATAATTTTTAAAAATGAAGACTATCTGTATCTTAAGAAGTAGACGGTTCAGGTTGGCCATCCAAGTAAAATATGCATTTTTCTTCTTTTTTCAGGCACATTGATGAATGAATTTATTCCCTACAAATGAAGTTGTAGGAAATAAATTCTACCACGGGGCTCAGTAAGAGAGACCCCTTCACAGGTGTTCCCACCTACCATTTCTAGGCATAAGAACAGTTTCTGCAACATATCCTTCTTCCAAATCCTAACAGTGCAAAAGCTCTCTGGATGATTGCATCTGGCAGTTTTCAAACTGAAATAAATTAAGATTTATAATTGCAGACTTCACAAAAACCATAAAAGACGGCACTAAGGCATGCCAAGCAATAAGCTAGGAGAAAATTAGCTAAGATGAGATGGAACTGGAAACTAAAATAGACAAAAATAGATAAATGAATAGACTTCAGCCATAGACTTGGCAGGCTTACTGGGTCATTAGCTGGGAAAAGAAGGGGGTTTGGCAACAGAAGGAGCAATTCGATGCATGAGTCCCACAGTGTTCACTGGAGCTTACTCTTAGGGAAGTCTGTCTCAGGTTGCAGTACTATAGGAGGATACAATCCATAAATCATTAAAGTCAATCAAAATATTGCAGCCTGGCAGATCTCTGAGCAATTTAGAATTATATCCCAAATGTCAGGAGTTCCTGAAATCTGTGCCACATATAGTGAACAACCAGGCTGTACATTATTGCTCTCTCAGTTATAATCCAGGATTGATTCCACCCGCCAAGTTGGCGATTGGGTTTTCTTTCCAGAAAGTAGTTGTAGAACAAGCTTCCTGTTCCAGCTGAGCCTTGCTTGAGAAATGTGGTTCTTGATTACTGAAGTCTCCCTATTTGATCCTCTGGTTCCAAATCTATTGTCTTGATTCACAGCTCCACATTCTTGGCTTATCTTAATTCAGTGTTAAAGATTAAAAATTCAGACAATCATATACAGCTCCTTCTGCTTTTCATTTGTTTTGAGATGGCAGTGGTGTCTACATCTCGTTAGCCCAAAGTAGAATTGGTCCAGAAGTTCAGAGCACCATTCAAGTGAATGAGTATTCAAGATTGTACATATGTGTTCACATATTGCCGGGATGGCGAACCTATGGCATGCGGAACCATTTGTCAGAGCATGCGAGGCTGGCCAGCGCGCATACGTACGCTGGCCAGCTGAGTTCAACCTTTTTTAAAGCCATTTTTCACTGGGGAGGGCGAAAACAGCCTCCCACCCCCAGAGGCCCTCCAGAGGCTTCAGGAACTTCCCTGAAGCATCTGGAGCGCAAAAAAACAGCCCTATGGGCAAACCAGAAGTTTGGGAACGGACTTCCAGTTTGCTCGTAGGGTCAGTTTAAGCCCTCCGGAGGTTTCAGGGAAGCTTCCTGAAAGTCCCTGAAGCCTCCTGGGGGTGGGGGAGTCTGTTTTCCCCCTCCACGGGGTCCTATAAAGCCTCTGGAGCCTGGGGAGGGCGAAAAGAGCCTCTACTGCCCCCCCACCCCCGAGGCTTCAAGAGCTTCCCTAAAGCATCTGGAGCGCAAAAAAACAGCCCTATGGGCAAACCAGAAGTTTGGGAACGGACTTCCAGTTTGCTCGTAGGGTCAGTTTAAGCCCTCCGGAGGTTTCAGGGAAGCTTCCTGAAAGTCCCTGAAGCCTCCTGGGGGTGGGGGAGTCTGTTTTCCCCCTCCACGGGGTCCTATAAAGCCTCTGGAGCCTGGGGAGGGCGAAAAAAGCATTCAAAAAATGGAGGGAGCGCCTCTCATGTATCTATGCACGCGTGCCATAAGGGGGAGGGTCACACGTTGCATTATGGGTGTG